AAAATATACAGGAAGAAGAGAAAAATACAGAGAGTTAAATTATGTTTCCTTGTGCATTTAAGCATTTGAGCAGCACGTGTATATGTGGTCTATTACCTGACTGTAAAACCAGCTGCCATCAGAGTGAGATAAATCACATTTTTTGACCCTTAATTAATCTCAGTGTAAAAACAGAGGTTCACTTATGTCTGTCTGTGCAGAGACAGGTAACAGGTAAGAAAGGAGGGCTTTAACTAACTGACTTATCTCCCCCACCTGTTAAATGACAGCCTCCATGTACCATGACTGTACAAAAAACAATGCTCTCAGTGCTGTATGTTATCTGCCATACAAGCAGTTTGTTGCATAAAGCTTTGGTGACTCTGATATAAGTTACACAAAAAGAGAGAGATTTTATATGCTCTATCATCCAAGCTCAAGTACCCCCTGTAAAACCTGACCAGAAAGAAATGTACATCACACAACAGCACATAAGCAGGTTTGAATTTTGACATAAATTAAACTCACAAAGGGGTTCAAATAGTGTTCAACATAGTTTGACATTTAAGGCCCTACACACCAGCCACCTATTGCTGCAGAAATATAAAATTCCCATAGGTTTTGTCCTTTGTTGCACTTAGATAAGTTTGTGACCCAAATACGTGCCAGTTCATCAGGGTCGGGATTTATAGACCTGCTCAAACTTATGACATTTGCTACTTTGGCCTGCCTATTTAGTAAGGTCCGCCTGAAATAAAAAAATGTTTTACATATAAATGTCGAATGAAAAACCAACTGCAAGGATAAGCACTTTACTATGCTGTCATCACAAAAAATATTATGGGGAACTCTCCGGTGTCCATTAATCATGTTGACGTCAAATATTGCTCCATGACAAAAATATAAACCAATCCAACAACACAGTATCCTACTGTCAAAGATATTCTTAGCACGCACGAGGTTAGAGATGAACTGAACTAAAACTGGGTGCAAAGCAACATATGTGTGGATATTTTAAGAACAGTTGTACTCACTGTTATCAGCAACACCTGTAATTCACACTACAATTGACAAATAACTGGAGAATGGGGTCCCTAATAATGATCAGTAAACTCCAGGAAAGTGTGTCGCCGCTGGCACACACACACACACACACACATACACGGTCACACATACATTACCACACATTATACACACACTGAGACAGGCGACAGGGTCGAAACAAAGTATGGAATGATCACTGAGGCATAGGCCACACCTGCAGTTTACATGTTGCTCTGATAGTGTTGTTTCTATTGTCACTGCTCGTGTATGTGTATGTGTGTGTTTGTGTGTGTGTGTGTGTGTGTGTGTGTGGCCACTGAACAGTGAACAGGTC